GGATGAGTAACACTCCATGTTCCTGAGGCATATTCTGTTTCACTTCCAAATGGTTCAAATGGTTTGAGGACGGAATAGAAGAAGCTTTCGCTTAACGGGCTTCCGTGTCTAGTAGCAGTGGATCACCAATACCTCCGGGCAAAAACCTAGATATATGAACGATAATAGAGGGAAAAAAAAGAATTTGGTAAATCAAAATAATATGTTATCCTTAGTCCTTAAGAATAAGTCAAGGTTCCTCTTAAAGGACTCCTGGGAGGTCGCTTGGACTAGCTCAGTCGGCAGTGAATTCCAGCACTTGACTACTCTTACGAAGTATAAATTGTGTCTGCAGTCTGTTCTGCTATGTTGGGTCTCCAGTTTCTGGTAACTTTTAGGTTAGTGTTGTGACTAAGCTTAAAAAGATGTTTAAGGGGATGACCAGAAGTGTTAAGGATACTGTAAGTCATAAGAAGGTCACCTCTAAGACGCCTGTACCATAACGGGAAGAGGTTAAGTGATTGGAGGCGCTCTTCATAAGGTTTGAATTTGAGTCCCCCAACTGATTCCGTGGCTCGACGTTGTATACGTTCCAGAGTGTCCTTATCTTTTTGGAGGGAGGGAGGGAGGAAATGCTATATTTCCGTACTCTAAATAGGGGGGAATAAAACTGTTGGAGATTATGTGGAAGGTTCTGCCGTCAAACTGACCAAAAACGCGCTTCAAGATATATAAATAATTATCTTCATGCTATACATGCTGTGACACAGATATGATTCATATAATATATTACAAATTGTATGTTTCCTTATAAATTCACTGATAAGAGACAATATATAATGTGAATATAATTTCTCCACTCACCTAATACGTTTTTTCTATGCAATATGTTATATGAACACTCATCACTTCACATCACATATCTCTTAAACATACCTAGTTTAGACTTTTTGTTAACGTTGATTGGATGACCTATTCAGTGTATAATGAACTCGGAGAACCATGTACCTATTTATATTCGATACTTTTGATGCTTGATTATAATTCCTTGAAAAAGCTTGGACCAGATTGCCAGGCGAAGAGTTGGATTCACTACAAATTCATTCGCTGAGATTTTACAAATATATTGTTTATATTTAATGCCTTTCCAATAATGTTAGCATAACTTGGGAGAGTACTGAGTTGATGTTGAAGAAGGGAGAAAATAAGGGGGTAGAAATGAAGGAAACGTGAAATACATAAATATTTCAATAAGCGTGTTTGTGAACACAGAACAAGAATAAACTATTATGTATATGTCGCCAAGTGAAAAAAGGAAGAAAAGGTTTTAAAAAATAAAAAGAGAAAGAAAATGAATAATCATTGCGGTAAGATTTGATAATGGAGTAAGCGTTTGTGTAGCAATCGTCTTGAAGGATGCTATGAAAGTCTCAGCTACTTACTAAGTATAATCAAATATCAATATGTGTGAGTCGTATTTATGTAGGGAAGATAAAATGGATCTGAAAAGTTAATTTATTTAGGTGCAACTCCAGATAATTTGTTTTTAGTTATAGATTTTCTATGTATAGGAATAAAATATATTTGGAAGGGAAAAAAGGGACGAGATGAGTACCTAATGTGTCAGAAGGACCGATGATGGTAATAATAACAATAATTATGAACATAAGCAGACCTCATATATTAAGATGAATAGAAAGAAAACAAGGCAAAACAAACGACAAAAGTTTCGAAAGTCCTGCTTTGCTTTTCAGTCAATTAGATAGATGACGGTCCTTGTTTATATAAATCATTGTTAAACACATTGACATTCAACAGGTGATACAATCCGCTATCAGAAATGAAATCATGAAAGAGAATTATGAACCCGGTTATAGTTTCATTGCAGTGCAGGTTTATTGGGAACCTGTTGTACACGGTTGAGTAGCGAATAAAGAAAAAATCCTGGAGTAATTTTTTGTGGGTTCTCAAAATCATCGGAATATTTTTTTAATTCAGTAGGTTGCGAAATGATGTCATAGATTATGAAGAGGCGGATGCCGAAGAAAAGGAAATGCCGTTTATTAGCCGGTTACTAAACGCGAGGTTTAATTTAATGCGCCTGATCTATAGAGGTTCTACCTTGTGTTATTGACACCTTTGATTATAATCCTTGTTGTCTGAATGCCACAAACCAGCTGTTGTTAGCCTTCATCGTCATTATGCCTGCAATTACTGTAAACTAGAATATTATATTCAATGGTACGATAATTTATTTATTTATTAATAACATCGATTCAATAATTTTGGAATTTATCATTATCAATCCAATGAGCTTTCTTGGTTTGGATACGTGAGGTGCAATGTGCTCGGAAAAGTCCGAAGTGTTGCTATATCTCAAACCCAAGTCAATGAAAGCGTTGAGAAATTTCATTGTATGTTTGTGTATAGCCAGATTTAGGTTAAGGCAGCGGCCAATGTGAATAAACCCACTTTTGTTAGCATACAGTGGCAGATTCTACAACACAGCCCATTTGTATAACTTGTTTACTTCTTCTTCAGTTACGGCTAAAATTTAGCTTTTTTTGATGGGAGAAGAGAATGAATTAGTATATTTTGGGTCATCGGCAGAAAGGAAAGGTTCACCATATTGAAAAAGAGAACATACGTTATTGTCAACCAAAATCGAAGTTCGAATCTTCAATATGAACCCAATATTCGTTTGCCAGATACCATCAGCAACGACTTATTGTGAGTGAAACACACCAGCTTCTAGATGAAAAGGAAATTAGGAAAACACGTTAGAAATGGATAGGACACACATTAAGAAAACCACGAAGCAAGTGCTAACTTGGAATCCTGAATGGAAGCGAAAAAAGGAAGGCCGAAGAACACGCTGCTTCGAGAATTAAAAGCAGACATAAAAAGAATGAATACCAACTGGAAAGGGTTGTCCAGGACAGGGCTCGATGGAGAATGCTAGTGGTCGCCCTATACTCCTTCACGAGTTGTAACAGGTGTAAGTATGCAAATAATGTATATTTTTTGTCACAGTTTCTATTCATAATTGTTAAATAGCTTGCCATTAAGATGAAAGTATCGGAGTGTGAGTAAATTCTCTATCTTATATAAGCAATATATTCTCTCTCCTATTATCCCAAAAGTCAAACAAAATCACTTTGGGATTGTCTACGGCCAGAACGACATTTTTTCCGAAGTACCCTAAAAATGCGACACACAAGAAATCTCTTCGGCATCTTCCTATTACGTCTGTAGAAACCAAAGTTAAGGATTCAAGTGTCAGTCCAAAATCTAATTTTAGAATAAAGATATAGCTAGAACATATGCTTCTTTGCTTCCTTATTTATTTAAGCATTAGATTTCCTTCTGTTGAATGGTGAAGTTTTCGTGTATTTAGATAGTTGAACTCAAAGCAAAAGATAACAAAAAGTGACGCCAACTCTCAAATCCTTTAGATTTCAATACTTCGCCAAGGGGTGAATATTAGCCCTATACTCCTAACAGAATTAGAGAGGCAACAAAAAGGGGCCTAGAGATTAAAAAAAGCTAGTGCGATACTATTCTAGACGGTGCCTATGTATCTATCATTTTGCCGGTTTCCTGAAAAAATGAAATGTGCTCTTGTTCTGTTTGAAGGCATAGATTTGACTCCTAAATATTACTCATTTTCCCGTAGAAAGTCCATTGCGAATTTTACTGTATCTCATGCAATGTCACAGAGGGTAAAGTGACTGTAGATCCACTAACTAACTCGAGATGGTTGCCACATTTAATTCATTTACTTAAACATGAGCGTTGTGTGTTCAATATTTTTTCGGTCTGCGTGGGATCATCATCCAATGTACCCATAATCTTAATCTTTTTATCCTATTCTTGCTATTTCACTGTTTCCTTCTGACCAATTTAGTTTGGTTTTACTCAATCGCTGGAACTCTTTGGGTGCCGTAATGAGTAACTGTAGCTTCGACTGTCGCCTCAAGCTAGTATGGTGTCTTTGAGCACTGCTATGTTTTTGCGAATTAATTTATGGTTGCTTTGTACTTTACCCCTGGCTGATTTCGAATCCTAAATACAATACGTTCGTTTGCGTTCATCTGATCCTACTTGACCTATATTGCACTGTTCTGGCAATTCCTAGCTAATACAATATTTTGAATAATTCAAATCATCATAACTAGCCAGACATCCGTCAGGTATGTCGCTGAATGTCAAACAATACACTGATCAATAATTCAAAAGTTAATGATTTCAGCCTTTCAATGGGTTAGTACTTTGGAATATGAACTATGACCGAACATAGCCTAATATCCCTTTCAGTTTTATCATGGTTATTACAGCATATCAACTTCAAAAGATTGAATTGAGATGGGAGGTCATATATTTGAAAAAAAATTAGTAAGATGGGACGAAGTATGTAGGCGAATTCCTGGGAGCACAGAAACGAACCTAGCCCGTTCTAGAAAATTTATTTCCAGAAGATAACCCTTAAATATAATCGCTTCCAAAGATCTAAACTTTCAGCAGAATGGGTCGAATTATAATCTGAAGGAGATAAAGTTCATGATATTGAATATTGGTGGAATACGTTTACAACAATTTGGTGATCCACTGCTACCAGACACGGAAGCCCGTTAAGCGAAAGCTTCTTCTATTCCGTCCTCAACCATTTGAACCGATTTATTCCTTTGTCGTTGGCTATAAAGAGGACCTCATAATTAATAAACCTTACTCTTGACTCAGTTTTATTTCATGACCTTACATTCGGACGTCTTTGGTCACTAGCCAAGTAATTGGGTTTCGTAAGATTGCACTTACTGTATTTAAGCCAAAAACAAACATTTGGAAGTTTGTAAGTAACAAAAAATGTAAATCGTGGTCAATATATTCAAAAACGTGTTCCTAAGCATACCATGTTACGTGTTTATTTCACAAGATTCGCTCTTACAAAGTCGTTTGTATTCATAGAATTTTATGTCGGTACAAATGCCATCAGCCATTTGAATGGTAATTACTTAAGAATGTTTACTTTCCTAATTCACTTTCTAATTTTTATTGATGAATATGAAATAGTATTTTAGAATTCAACTAAATCTCCTGACCTTTTGCACTTTTCAAGGTTCGGTACTTGGCGGTCGTTTTGACTCCAGACTTTTCTACCAAGGACAAAGGGCATGGATCGTGCCCCGGCAGCATATGAGACTACATATGAAACTAGGTACGAAACAACAGATGTTTCATCAGTAATCAACGTTGGTTTCGTACGGAGTTTAAGTGGAATATTGAAGCTTTGTCAGGTGAGTTCCACATAAAGCATATTAACCGAATAAGGCGTAATAAAAGGTATCCTATTTAAGTAAATACTTGAGCAACCTCCGTGTAATACATATAAGTGTTCTAAGCCAGTGACATCAGTCTTATGTCTGTGTGACCATAGCTGTATTCCTTCGTTTTGTGTCCTTATAACGAAGTAGATATGTCTTATGACCTATGTATTGTCGTTAGTAACACTGGCTAACACTTTAAATATTACCCTCAAGAATGCATAACTAGTGGTATCTAAAGCCACTTAGTTTCACGATATCAATGAGGACGGTAGATACCCTTTACATGAAGTTATCTTCCACAAAATGACTTCCCGTCTGGGTTTTTTTTACCCAGTTTCAGCTTTAATCAGTATTTCATATGAAATTTAAAATGTGTCCAGAGCATCGAGGAATTTTTCAATTTGATGGAACTGTGTTCAGATATATGTTGTCGAACATCAAGCCTACACACTTACAATTAAATATGGATAGTACTTGAAAAATGACCAAATCCTTAAAGTCGACGAAACCTCTAAATTCTGGAGGGGCAGATTGTACAACCATAAGTCTTATCTCGCCGTCTTCGAATACGCTAACTTTCACTCTCATGATTCGGCTAGCAACATTGCAGATTGACACACTGAGTTATCCTAGTTACCAATATATCAACACTGAATAGTTTACTTGCTACTCTACTAATAACAGTGAAATTGCGTGGTTATATGTAGAGTACCTTGGTTCAATCTTGAAGACTATCCATTAAAGAATAAAGCTTCTAGGGAGTCTGAATTAAATACATATTTTTATTCTAAATGCTCGGAAATAACTTGAAAACTCTTTTTAAGATTTGGAGGGGTCAGTTTCCTCCCAACACGATGTATGTTCATGTGAGTTACAGTAGTCTTACCAAAGGAAGTTTTTCTTTGTTTCTCTTGCATCAAATCAACAACAGTTTACTTTTGTTCACTAAAGTGTTGTTTTATCTCTGTACAGATCCTACTGAGTTGTATCGTACTAATTTGTGTCGCTGCTACTTCATACTGGTCAATACACTCGTCCGGTGGATGGGTAAACTTTGTTGCAGCTACCACTTTGATATGTGCAGCAGTTTTCTATATATTTTATCTATTCAATCTTATCAGAAAATTGCCAGGTCCGTGGATTATAATTGTAAGCATTTGTTTTTACTGTTTATCTGAATACCGTTCCATTTTTGCAGACGATCGATTAATAGACTGTTTCCAACTTGGTTTGGTTAATTGTTAAATATTACTTCTCAGGGATGTGTTTTTTAAACTGCTTTATATATATTTTACGGTGTGGGCGACTGGTATTTCGTTCATAATTTACAACTTGTTTAGATTACCATAAAAATTTTTTGACTGTGGTCCCGTGTTGGTGTCAATTCTTATTATTTTAATGCTGTTTTTTATCGGTACTACAAATATATCCACCGTTGAACATCGTAAATATATTACCAGGCATACTTTAATTCCCCACAATCATTAGCTTACGGATGTTTATTGCGTGTTTTTTAATAATTATTTCACAGTGTGCCTACCTAACTTGAAGTAGGTGTAGTGAAGTTTAAGTCCCCTTACCAGTAATTGAAAATCTACAAATATCTGATGTCATAGCTCTGTTTCACCATATTAATAGCAAATTTGGTGATAGCAAACTAAACAAATGGACATTGATTGAGCTTAACACTTCTATTGATTACTTTGAAATCCTATACCCTTGTTTAAATATCTAGATTATCATTGATTACTATCGTGCTTGGCTCATTAGATGCTTATAACACTCTGAAAAATTCTAATTCTTGATGGCACTCACAACTTAATACATATAACTGATATCCAGCTTCACATCATTTGCCAACTTTCATAATATTGATTCTGTAGTGTGATACTTCCATTAATAAGAAACGTTATTCCTAACATAATCATATTTTCTTGATTTTCTAAAGACTTGTTATATGGATAGTTATCATCTTCATGAAGAAATGTACAGTATAATGTGCAAAATTATATCGAAGTAAAAGCTATCACCCAGTACATACTGCTTTCACTTTTGATTTCCCTTTGTACACGCATGAAAGGTTGACACAATAAATACTATTAAAGTACCGGTTCTTGATAAGTTCTCATAGCGAATTACATTCTAAAGAATCACTATCAAAATATTTAGAACAAATATGTAATCTAAGCTAAAACATTTGATATGATTTTGGTACATTGATGATTATACTATCTAATTTATATTTTTTGATTAAACATCAAGAAAGTCGTTTATCGGTTTTTCTGATCTTGTTGATAAACTTCATATTTATATGCTGCGCTTTGAAAAATAAAGATACTATGTAAGCCCGAAATAAATGAAGCGGTCCTTTAACTCATGATTCATTAATACACGCGTCTAAAACATTAAACACTATACTAGCCGAATTACTGGTGGCAAAACATAAGTAGGAAACCAACTATTGAGTATTATTCTTTAGTAGTATAATGTACTGAAATATTTCCAGGGATAAATTATTTCAACCTGCTTAGTGTCTCAGTCTCTGTTGCGTTGATTTAATTCAAATATAGTAAACTAAAACATGCCTACAGTACATTTAGTTGTATGCCCTGGTAAGGACGTGAGTGAGGAGAGTTCGCTCTCCCTCTCGACATGGCCACGCGTATACAGCCACTTCCAGGGAATTCCTACTCATTGCCTTCTCGTGGCATTACTGTTGTTTGCGAAATTGAGAGGACAAAAAGCGAATGTCCAGCGCTCTAAATGAGTTGGTGGACCTTTCATGATCACCCAGAGAGGTTGGAAAACCCTGGTTTCAAACCAGTGGTGTACATACGCTCCAGCATCCTAAAGGAACAAAAGGTGTATGAACCAATTATTGGTCACTGGCTGCCATGGGGCTGCGTCTCCTAACTTTGCTTCATTGCCTTGTGGAGTAGACCTTCAGATCAAAGGCTCGGAGTGTTGTCCCCTAAGAAAACCACCTGCTTCGGCTTAGACACCGGGGCAGCGTTCCAGCCTTCACACAAGTCAACGATAACCATTACTGACATCATGGTTATTGTTTGGCCCCCTTGTACCAATGTTTGTGTTTAAATGAAAAAATATTACATCACTATCTTACAACTTAATCATTATCGTTTTCCATGTTTTTTTTCTTTCGATTATTCGTAATCCTATCCAGCCGACAAGTTGGTGACATCCTTCTAAAGTATTCCAAGTTACCCATATTTATTAACCAATCTTAATTAGCTTTTACAATTGATTGATCTAAACTATGCTGGAAGTGAAACTCCCTCCATTGATAACATTAGATTCTTGTAATGAGTAATTACCGTGATTTGACTAAAATTTTAAATGTAAATCATTGACCTTTAGAATATTCTACTCCCTATGGGACTTAACGGTCCGTTAATTCATAAGCAAGAGAAAAAGGCAGTTTTTTAATGATTTCTGCTATTCAACATCATCCCATCTAACTTCAGTTCTTGATAAATCTATTTTCTAAACAATTGCTGTCTATTAGATGTGTCAAAGTTACTCACTTTTGATTACGTTGATAATTTGTGTGAAAAAAAGCTAAACTGTTCATCTTTCATGTCATACAACATATCATACAGTTCTAATCGTTATCTTTATTGTTTTTTGCCTTTACAAATAAACCAAAAATAATGAAAAGGAGTTTTCTGTGCTACTAATATGCACCTTCTTTTGGTTTATAACGCTGATCGTTGCAGCGGCTCATCATTCAAAAGGTGCTGGTGCTATAGCTGCGGCTGTAAGTGATATTGTTTTTTTATTATTTAACCCAATAATAATGAGGATAGTGTAACTAACTTATTTGTCTAACAATGGGCTGCTCCCATTTGACTGATTGAATCAACTAAGGGGCATGTATACTGCTCAACAGTCCACTCTATATTACTTTATGGCTGTGAAACATGGTTCTTGAAAATAGGTTTTTGATCACTGCTGGTCTTTCTTGGAATGACTGAGTGATCAATGTTGAGCGCAGACATAGGGTACTTGGTATAGATAACAAATCAGTACATGGGGCTGTGAATTTTTACCGGTTGAGGTAATTATGGCATATATTACGTATACCTAATCACCACTTCCCCCGACAGACGAGGTTTACTGGCGTAGGACCTAGGTGGAAGAAAGTTAGGGGCGACTAAACTATATGACATCGCTCAATGAAGTCATTGCTCGTTCAAGCTATGTTGGTAAATACAGTCTACCTGGTTTGGGTCCGCGCGATTATCATAACTGATGGTTAAAGACCTTAAACGACACGGCTTGGACGCGTTCACGCTGGCACAGATGCAGTAAATTAATTCTGTCCATCTTGAATTTCAGTATCCCTTCATACATGTCTTTCCACTCTGACTTTTCGAACCCTGTTTTCAATGCTTAGTCATTGCCACTATATTCGATCTCTTGCCATATCATGCTTATGTGGTTTAACAACTTGGGCCAATATATATATGTACCAGGCTCTACGTTGATGATAGGTAACTGGATAATTAAAGTTTGGTAGTATGAAGTCCAGTGTGGTTGTGGAAAAACGATAGCGTTAGAAAATGGCGTAAATACAAACCAGTCCAAGTTGAAATACTCAACATCAGAACAACTGGTGCGAGAAGTAGAACTAGATGACAAATAAAAAAGTAGAAATAGTAGTACTTATGGTAGCGGGAACTCATTATAGATAAGGAAGTTCAAAATGGATCAACTAAATTTAGGGAGTAAACTGTATTAAGTGATATTAAACGCAAGATCTAAAAAAATAGTTGATAAAGTCATTTGCATTACTGCAACGCATTTTTGTGCATATTCAACAATATATTATAATGGTGTCGTGGAACCCAACCAGGAAATCTACAACCCACAACACAGCCTAACACAAGCTTATCAGAAAACTCTGCCTTGATTTAAGTTTCTTTAGCCATCTTCCAACTTAATTCTATGATAACCAATAATGCATATCAGGATAGGCAGTGGTTGACCATAATCTCATCCCTTTAGCTGGTAAAGGTAACATGATTTCAGTCGATCTAACATCGTTACCTGGTACCTGTAACTTTTCATTCATCGATCTTATCTGTTCCGTTTGATCCATATTCCTTTGTTTAGGTTTCCATTATATTTTATAGAATTTCCATTCCTTTGTTTCTCATCTTTTTAATCTCTTCATTTTGCGGTCGTAAAGTATGACAACTTGGGTCGATGCACATTCGTCTCAGGTTCTACATTTATGTCTCACTACTGCCCCTGACCTCAACATCACTTATTTTTAAGTATGATTTGGATTTAGATGACTAAATGTCATCAGAATCTGCTTTATAATAACCATTTTCGTTTTTTGTTACTATTATTTGATGTTAGCAATACCTAATGCACTATCTAGCTAACGAGTTAGTAGGATTTGTCTACCGCCAAAATGGACAGTCAACGAAATACACCCTCCATGTATCTGGCGACCCGTTGGCTAGTTCTCGTGGACTTGCAGGTGTAGGCATAGCACTAAGTAAAAGGGCAGAACAGGCACTATTAGAATGGATTCCCGTTAACAGTTGCCTGTGTGCTTTCCGGCTAAATGGCTCCGTAAGAACTCGGAAGAACAGGGATACACGTCGTTGCCTTTTCGTCGTTTCTGCCTATGCTCCCACTGACTGCAGCCATGATGAAGTGAAAGATGACTTTTACATAAAGCTCTCTGAGCTTCTTCGGAAAGCTAAGCGCTCAGACATAGTAGTTGTAGCGGGTGACTTTAATGCCCAGGTAGGCAGCTTAAATAAAAAAGAAAGACATTTGGGTGGGTGTTTTAGTATTCCGGCTCAACGAACCGATAATGGTGATCGTCTGTTGCAACTATGCTCAGACAATCGTTTATTTTTAGCAAGCACTAATTTTAAGCATAAGGAGAGACATCGTCTAACATGGCGACCACCTTCACCAAACCAACGATGGACTCAAATAGACCATATTGTCATCAGTCATCGTTGGAGAGGCTCAATAGAAGATTGTCGCTCGTATTGGAATACTTGTTCAGACTCTAATCACGCTTTAATACGAGTGCGCATTTGTCTGCACCTCAATGGACGCAGGAAAAGTACACTAAGAAGACCCATTAGGATTGAACTGGAGGACGAGAAAGCCAAATGCGAATTCCAGAAACAACTGAGTTCACATCTAGGCAGTTCTGTAAACGAGACTGACCCAGATGCTGCTTGGAAAGACATACGAACAGCTGTGGAAACAGCAGTAACCAAAGGGTTCCAAAAACCAATGGATTTCTTCTAAGTCTATTTCACTGATGGATTCGCGTAAACTCATCCCATCAGGCTATGAACACAACGAAAAGCGTAAACAAATTAGATCTAGGTTAACTAAAAGTCTAAGGAACGATCGTGAGCAGTGGTGGGCAAGGAAATCAAAAGAAATGGAAAAGACAGCGGCTGTAGGCAACATCAGGCAACTCTTCAGACTAATAAAAGAAACCGGAATTAAGAAGTCAAGTGTGAGTGAGACAATCTCGGAAAAAGACGGAACCCTTATCTGCTCTCAACCTAAACGTTTAGAACGATGGGCGGAACACTTTAAGGAGCAGTTTAGCTGGCCTTCAGCTACTGCACAACAAAGACTATTCCCAGAAAACCTGAATGAAACATTGAAGTAGGTCCCTCGACCCTACTTGAAGTTCAGAAGGCTATAAGTGATCTGAAACGTGGAAGAGCAGCTGGTCCAGATGGATTGGCTCCAGAGGTCTTTAAATATGGTGATCCGATTTTAGCGATTAGGTTGACTAATATTCTGGCTAAAATCTGGGAGACGGACGTAATCCCACCTGACTGGTCACAATCTCTGATTGTCCCAATATATAAGAAGAGGCCAAAATCATCCTGTGATAACCATAGAGGGATTAGTCTGACTAACATAGCATCTAAAATAATAGCCTCAATAATTATCGTGCGCCTAACTAAGACTCTTGAACTGCAAACGCGAGAAAATCAGACTGGCTTCAGACCTGGTCGTAGCCGTATCGACCACATATTCATCATTCGTCAAGTTTTAGAGCACAGACATACTTATCGGCGTCCGACAATTATAGTTTTTCTTGACTTGAAAGCAGCATTTGACTCTGTAGACCGAGAGGTTCTGTGGCAATGTCTGTCATTGAAAGGTGTACCACAGAAGTACATAAACCTTGTGAAGGCTCTTTACTCGAACACTACCAGTCGAGTGAGAGCTTATGGCGAACTGTCATATGATTTCGCAACTTCAAGTGGTGTCCGGCAAGACCGTCCACTATCTCCATTTTTGTCTAACTTCATCACAGACCTACTGCTGGAAATAACTCTCGTCGACTGAATTTTCAGGAATAGATCCCCTACCAGAAGGTTCACTTATCGACTTAGAATACGCAGATGACATAGTCCTGTTTGGTGAAGACGCTGACAAAATGCAGAGTCTTCTGTTAGAATTGAGTAACAATGTCAGGATATTTGGAATGCGCTTCTCCCCCTCTAAATGCAAGTTGTTACTTCAGGACTGGTCTGCGTCAACTCCTGAACTAAGGATAGGGAGTGAAGTAGTCAAATGCGTCGACAACTTCACTTATCTTGGAAGTCTGATCAGCCCTAATGGGTTGGTGTCTGACGAAATCTCAGCACGGATTCAAAAAGCTCGTTTGGCTTTTGCCAACTTACGTCACCTATGGCGAAGACGAGATATCCGTCTATCAATTAAGGGACGAGTATACTGAGCAGCAGTTCGTTCTGTTCTACTTTACGGCTGCGTAACATGGCCATTAAGAGTAGAAGATACTCGTAGGTTACTAGTATTCGACCACAGATGCCTTAGAAATATTTCTCGCATTTGCTGGGATCACCGGGTAAGTAATAGTGAGGTTAGACGCAGGGTATTAGGGAATGATGGTAAATCAGTTGATGAGGTCATGAATCTTCATCGACTGAGATGGTTGAGCCACGTGTTACATATGCCTGAACACCGATTACCACGACTCGCAATGTTGATTAGTGTAGGGGATGGTTGGAAGAGAGTTAGGGGTGGCCAAACCAAAACATGGTATCAGAGCATGAAGTCACTAACTTCTAGTCTGAGCCATGCTGGTGGATACAGACTACTTGGTTGGGGTCCGCTTGACTATCGTAACCAATGGTTGGAGACTGTGTGACATGGCTCAGAATCGATCACAATGGCGTAGGTGTATACACTCTTCATGTTCCCTTAAACCTTGAGATTAAAGTTGCTTTATATCTTTCTTTCTACGAACTAGTTTTTTCTCCTGTATTATATCCTTATACACGGTCTTTCTTTTATAAATTACCATTGAAGTGACTACTATGAATGTGGTGTTTATTTTGTTGTGTTAATGAGGTGTGGCAACTTGGACCAAAATATATGTGTCTGGTCCTATGTTGTAGCTGACTGACTGACACCTGGAACCTTCGACCCAAAGGTCTGGTCCACAAGGCAGTGAACCAACGTTATTAGATGCAGTTTCATGGTAGACGTTGACCAGCAATTAGTTCATGCGCCATTTGTTCCTTCACGATACTGGAGGCCATGTGCACCTTTGGTTTGAAATCAGGGTTTTCCAATTCCTCTTGGTGAACTCTCCGTGTCCACCAATCCACACAATCCACCAATCTTCACAACTTTTTTTCCTTCCTATACTATATCCTTATATACAATCTTTCTTTATATACTACCACCACTAAATTAATTACTTCTATGAATCCGGTGTTCATCTTGTTGTGCTAACGAGGTATGGCAACTTGGACCGATGCATATATGTGCCTGGTCCTACGTTGTAACTGACTGATTTGTCTACCGTTTGTCAGTCAGTCAGTCAGTCACAATTTAGAATTTCGTACGTGCGTACATCAGTTCAAGTTGCCATACCACATTACCACAGAGATGCAGTTGCCGATTCAAATCCCATAGTAGTAGAAGTAGTTAGAGTATAAGCATTATGTGAAAGATTAGGGTTTGAAGGAGTATAATCCAGTGAAATAGATTAGGAAAGAGAAAAAAGATCGAGACATGAAGAATTCAGAAGATTAACATTTGGTAGAACACAAAGAGTGGATGCACCTTCGCCATTGTAAACGATTCTGAGCCATGTCATCCAAGGTCTCTAACCATAGATTGCTATCATCTCGCGAATCCCAACCAGGTAGTCTACACCTACCAACATGGCTCTGTCCAATTGTCAATGACTTCATGGATTTGTCCCACGTTTTGGTCTGGCCGCCCCTAGCTATGTCTACCGTTTGGGTTTAACAGCAGTAATTCAGTTCATTTCTCTGTTTTCATTACTGAACATCTTTTGTAAAAGTTAAATATATAAAGATCATCATTTTCACTTACCAGTATCTTCACAATAACTTCAAACAACACGTCTTAGCTAATGAGTTTTCTCATTTTTGTTGATATAGATATAATTAATGTGTATTCTGTATACCAAAATTATGTAAATGAAAGAATGTGCAATTTTACTTAGGTTATATCAACGGCTTCATATAGAAAATGAAGTTGGTAATTATTCAAGATAGTCAACATAGTAGTATACTCCGAATATTGATCTCATTATTTTCAGTCTTACCAATTTTTACTTTTTTATTTTTCTGAAAACTGAAATTTGTATATGTGTATAGGTATTTTCTGCAATCGCTCTTGCGGTTTACATCACAGAATTAGCCACTCGATTCCGATGTGAACGCAGAGGGAACGGCTTCATCATCACAATGACTGGTGTAATGACTACGCATGCAACACGTGGTCCGCCTACATTTGCTCAACCAGCTCCAGGACATATGCAAGCTGAGTCAGTAGATCCACATATTGGATTTTCAGGAGCTTATGCACCAGGTGAACGTGCAGATGAAGGTTATATAATGCCATAAGGACCTGTGTATTACACTTGGATTATTTGTTTACCTCCACTACCCATATTATGTGAGAATCTCTTCACATTCTCTCAGACTATCATTAGGCTCCTTAAGCTATATACATATAATTGTGCTCTTGTTTGGCATATATGGATTGTTACTCACCAAGTTTGTATCTTTGGAGCTGCTAAATGAGATAGACAATAAAGCACTGCAACTCACACAAAAACAGTTATTAATAACACTTATTATTATTGCTATGAATTGCATCATTTATGTGTATATTATCTTGGTTTATTGTTTAATCTGCCCATTGTATCTGATATCATTGTAGTTGGATTTTGAAGTATGTCCGCTGCTTTCTTGCGTATTTCTTGCTAGTTAGCTAGATAAATAATGTTTCACTTACCTCTTGTTTCCACTTCTTTGTATTTGATGGTGCAGCCAACCGTAGTCAAATTCTTGCTCGCTATTTCATGCCTTTCCATGCTCCTCTCCTCTTTGCCTCTTTTATTATTGCAACAGTTCCGCTTTTACCTTGTTTTCCTCTTCATCTGATCATATGTGTGTTTCCTGCATTACCTACCCCTCAACGCAAGTATTTGTGTTTGTATCAGTTTTATGTCTATTCGATTGTTGTGTTGGTTTTTGTATTACCTTTCAATATCCTATTTTTATTCAATCAATGAATCATATGAATTTGGAGATTGATTATCATCAGTAAAAGTTGTGAATTGTTTCTTAAATGTGTGTTATAACTATTGTTATTTAAAATGGAATATAACTAAATATACATATACATGAGCATATGTTGTTCTCTGTGGAAATTCCCTCTATGATACTCTATATTTAAACAGTTAATTTATTTGTATGCTTAGAGTTACTTAGATGGTTGAGGATAGGATTGTTGCTGGTTGTAGATCGGAATATCGTATATATGCGACGTTTAGTCTCATTTGTAGAAGACATATTTTCAGGTTTTCTAATGACGTTTTTACCGATTTTTTGGTGCCAGATCTGTCAAAGCCGATAGTAAACTCCATAACTCTGTAGTTTCGCGCTAGGTACAGTTAGCATTATATGCTGTGTATCTAAGCTCTGCCTTGTCGGTGTTTCAATCACTGACGTTTTACAATGTCTAGCTTGCTATTCACGAACTTGCTGCTCCATATTCACACTTATTGTTACTTATACCAAGTATAACTGCTTATACATTTATCCGACTACCCTGAAACGATGTAGATGGAATGGAATTTGAATCTGGAGCTGACGAATCTCATAGCGTATATATCAGTAAAGATGATGTCGCATTTGGTATTGTGCAAATATACACCATTTACACACCCAAAATACACATCAAATAGACCTATGGACACCAAGGATACATATAAGTATAGATGAGCTAGTATATCTAGCACAAGTATAACTTCTTAATTCGTTGTTACGATGAAGAAGTAAATTAATTCATCCCTACCGAATGCTTATGTTATTTATTGAGACAGTCTCATTACTCAGTGACCACTACCCAAAGGAATAAGTCAGATTTCGCTAAAGTTATTCAGTATTACTTCTGCTTAATTCAGTATGATTTTTGCGTATTATAATATTGACTGATTTTCAATGTAAGTTTCAGTTCAGCATAACATTTGTCCAGTATAATGTTCTTTGTGTTAATTTGATTTGAACTTTGTTGAGCATGAAATGAAACGTGTATTTGTAATAATTCTCCAACTCTTAGGTTGAAAAGACTAGACAATCTGAAGCGAGAGAGAGCAGTGGTTTCAAATGGATTAGCCGTGGAAATCCTTAAGGATAGTGGTTCAGTTTTAGCAGTTAGATCGAATGAAATCTGGAGGCTGGGCGTAATCCCATCTTATTGGTCTCGACCGCTGACCCAGTCTATAAGGAAGGACAAAAATTCTCTTGTGGCAAAGATCAGTCAGTTTAACTTATTTAATGCATAAAATATCAGCTTCAATAGTACTCCGATGCTTATTTAGGGCTTGTGAAGAGTAAACTCGAGAAAACCAGGTTAGTTTCAGTTGTGGATGTATAGACCAAATATTCACCCGTCATCAGATTCTGGAACTCTGGTTTAATTTTCAACATTCGATTTTAGTTGTATTATTTAATCTTAAGACAACGTTTAACCTTGCTGATTGAGAGGTTTTGTAGAAGCGTCTGTCATTGCAAGGCATACCAAAGAAGTGCATAAACGTTGTAAAGGCCTTCTGCCCGAACACTGCTCGTCGAGTCAGAGCTTATGGATAACTGTTGGCGGAACTGTCAACCTGAAGTGGTTTTCATGAGGGTTGTCCACTTCCGTTTCTATTTAACTTCGTTATAGACATCCTTAAAAAGATAGTACTCTCACGATTTGGCTTTTTAGGAGCTGGTCTTCTACCAGGAGATTCACTTGTTAACTTAGAATATTCAGATGATATAGTTCTGCTTGGTGAAGATGGGGAAAAAATGCAGAGTCTTCTGACCATCTTAACTAACAATGCAAGTATGTTTGGAGTGCGGTTCTCTCCCTCCAAACGTAAAATTTTGCTTCATAATTAACTTGTGTCAGCGCTTGAATAGCGACTGGAAAAGATTGCTCAGGACAGGGTTAGATGGAAAGTGCTGGTGGCGGCCTATGTTCCTCCATGAGAGGTAATAGGAGTAAGTAAGCGCTTGAATTAATTATACAGAATAAAGCAATTGAGTTTATCGCCCGATATTCATATCTTGGGAGTCTCATCAGTCCTAAGTTGTGACTGACTGACTGACTCATCAGTCCTAATATGTTGCTGTCTGACCAAACATCGACACTGATTCATAAGACTCGACTGGTTCCTGTCAACTCGCGTCATTTGTGACATAGTTGAGATATCAATCTGCCTACCGAACGATGAGCTTACTGCACAGCAGCTCGATTTGTGGGTGTCAAATATCCACCACACCGCCAAGAATAGTGGATATTCGTACGTTACTAGTATTTGATCATACATGTCTTCCAAGCATCACTCGTGTATTTTGGAGCCATGAGTCAGTAATGTCGAGGTTCCAAATCGGGGTACTATACTAGGTAAAGATGATAAATCGATTGATGAAGTAGCAAATATTCATCAAATGAGGTGATTGGGACATGTGTTACGTAGGTTGGGAGGAGGATAGGAGTGTCCAAACTAAAATTTGGTATCAATCCATGAAGACATTGATTACATGATTCATCCATGTTAATAAATGCAAACTACTTGATTTTTGTAACCAGTGGCTACAGACTTTGAATTCCATGGCTCAGAATCGCACTCAATGATGCTGGTTCATTCATTCCTCGTCTTTCTCGAGGACATAAATCTCGTAATCTTTTTTTTCCTTTTTCATACCCAATCTTTTTTTTTACTACTAATGAAACTTTTGCTACTTCTAACACTCTGGAGTTTGTCTTAAAATAAGTTCATTTCGCAGCGTTAGTGTGGTGTGCAACTTGAACTAGTGCACATATGTTTCAGATTGGACGTTCTACGTAATAATAATGATAAGTAGTCCTTTGTATTTCCTCTATATACGTTTAAATAACCATTAAATGTATATAAAATCATCTTATAAATAAGCATATTTTTAAATTAAAGCTGACATGTTTTGGAGAGTAAGATAGATCTTCGTCTGCTCCGGTCTTAGTGTTCTTTTCATCATAGAAATTGCAATGGTTTCATGTTTCAATTATAGGCAATAGCTTTTGAGATTACAACACTCTATTAAAATCCTTTGTTACAAATTTTATCAGTTTGTGTGTATAGAACCTACTTCCCTTCCTAGGTTTGTTCTAACCAGACTTTACTCGTCACTTCATTCAGTAAGTTCCAACCAGTGTAACTCAGTTATAAAGTACATGTTTATCTGATCAGCCTTGAACCACACTAAGTTTCAGTGCTTGTGGTGCTACCCGATTGTGTAACCTGAAGTAAGTGTTGTGGGGTGAGAATCAATGATCTAGAACTTGAAGGTCGTATTCATTAAGTCACTACTCTAATCATCAAATGAATTTGATCATACCATTGTGTATTTAATTAACATAATAACATCGAAATGCATTGAATTTCTGGTTATTTATGATCTATTCAAGGTTGACAAAAGGTCAATTCATATCAAAGTGAATTAATATTGATTTATTCTGATTAATGAAATCAATAATCAATATTAAGTTTCTACTGTTTCATTTTCTTTATCGAAAAGCTTAACTCATTACCATAATCCGGGTATATACCATATATATACCAGGTTATTGAGTCATGTGTGTTGTTCAAGAAAATAGACACACTACTAGTCTTCAAAACTAAATTTAATATAGAATGTGGTTCTAAACCACACCTCAAAAGTTAGAAGTGGAGTGCTTTGTAACCATGAATTACATCTATATGAAGAGGTTTCAGTAATCAAAATGAGAAATCCAAACATATTTTAGTATCATTTTGTTTGATGAATAGTGAAGATACCATCAGTATTGTAGTTTGACAACTATTAACCAGTAACACCTATATTCGAATCGTCCCCCACTTAGTTAAAATCAGAAGTCAGATGAGAAGAGGTTGAAAAGATATATTTGATGCGTTATCAATATATCGAGGAGCGGTTGATCTAATCTGGCTAGTGAACGTAGGAGATGTTTCCCACGCTGAGCTGTAATGTGATCTGGTGCGGATGCATGACCGAACGCCTTCAGCTAAACAAATCCACTTAAAACAATATGGTCAGCATCCAATGTCGAACACTTAAAAACCTATTGATTTTGGGGAATTATTTACAGCTACAATAGACAATCGAAAACTAAGTCTGATAGCCAGATTTTAATTACTTTAATTGATGATAAGCGTTCAATGATTGAACGATACTATCATTGGTGGAATTTCATTTGTTAATGAAGCTACATTATGCTCTGAAACTTTAGTGGTGCCAGAAACAACCTTGACGCTTCCAAACACCTTCCTAACCACTGAGTACAGATAGTCAAAATCGATAACGTCACTAAAACTGATGATAAAAAGTTGAAAATGAGCGATATATTTTATGTGAATTGTAAGTTTCCCAAAGTTAATGATAAGCTTTTTCAATTTGGAAGTAGATTATTTTCGCTACAAGATTTCAAGCATTCAAGAGACGTTTAGTATATGATAAAGGGAGATTATAACCACTTTTATAGACGATTTGCTGTAGTTTTCGGGATTAATTTTGTACGGACTCCCTGAAATTTCAATGGGATGATCAGGAAACCATGTACATAAGTTTTTTGATGTTTTCAACCAATTTATACGGAACAAAGTGTGTATGCTATCCAATACATTATGAATGACGTGATTACGTTGAAAGTTTGGAAAGGTCCCATTTCAGGTAATAATACTGAACCAGGGTCAGGAAAGGGACTTAAAAGTCATAATGAAAATATCAAACTCAGCTGTTAACTATCGACCTCATTATAATTTATTGTAATGCAGATAATGTCGCTACCTGAAAAAAATGTTAGACTGTCGAGAGAAATACTAACATATAAATATAGAAGTAAAATGACGGCTAATTAGTTTAAAGAAATACAAGATGAAGTGAAATATCTCTGTGGTCCTTGTAAAGATCAGAATTATATTAGAATTAAAGTTAAGAGTACAAATAAAGGTTAGGAATTTGACTTAAGGTTAGCATTAGACGTTATGATATATGTATATTGACTAAAGACCGCAATCTTAACCATTAACTCTAACGAGTGAAGTCCTATAACTAACTTAGAAGACTCCTCAGCAGTGCGCATCCACGACCCCGCCTCGCG